GGGGGTTTTGTTTGTGAAGAAATCAATTTTAACGAAAAGCAATGCAATGTAATAAATTGGATTAAATCAATAGGACAAACCTTGGTCTAAGTCAATATTCACTGTAGGAAATTCAAACCGATCATGGATCCATAGATAATTATCAATTCATATTTTTAGCATTCATCATTAGAATTTATAATTCATACTTCTCCTTCGTTATAATTAACCGAAAAACAAGCGCTCCAATCAATCCTTACTATCAAATAACCCAAGAAAAGCACTTAAGATTTAACTTGACAATAGCATGGAAAATTAGAGAAACTGATGAAATTAAACAACACAAGCACAAGCGATCATGTTTGATCTAGTCAAATATCATTCCTAGAATTTAATAATCTCTTAAGCAGCGATTTATCAAACCCTAGTTGCTTCCTAACGTCAAAGATAACAAACAATTACGGATTTGTTCCTTAAACAAGAAATAGATTGAAATACATGAACAACAATAGGCCTCTTAGCATTCAAATACAACAATCATAAATTCAGGCATAGAAGAATATTCAATACACAAAATATGAATGAAAACAATGAAACTTATTTAGATCTCACAATTTGAATAAATCCTTGACTTCAATATCCTTCCACCGATTCTAGAGCAAAAAAGAGAAAAAAGGGGGTTGTGGGCGTGTTCTGGTCGAGTTAGGGTTTAAAAGGTATTGGAAAACGCGTTACCAAAGTGTTGATGTTAAATTCAAAAACTGAAGATTCGGGTGCCTGAATGAACCATGCATACACATAGTTCTATTGTTGTGTACGCATAGTAGACTTATTTAGGTCTTAGTAGTGGATTTTTGTAATCTCGCGTACGCAAGGTCTGCAGGCCTATGCGTACGCAAAGTATAAATTTCGTCCACCAAACAACTTTCAATATTTTGACCATAACTTTCTCTCCCGATGTCCAATTGAGGTGATTCAAGATGCATTGGAAAGATGACTCAAAGGATACAACTTTTATTTAGATGTCATCTTCCAATTCGATAGTTTACCATGTTAAAAATGGATCTCAAACAGAGATTGAAAACCGGTTCATAACCCATTCGATTGGAAATTGATGAGTGAGTAAACTTTGATTGTATTTCATCCATTTGAATTCTTTTCTCTTCTGTTTGACCTCTAATACTCTTGACTCTTTGTTCCATCATCCGTCTTATCTATGGATTATTGGCAACTTGGTCCCTAAACTTTTGATTTCTTCCATTTATTTCCTTTTTCGCTCTTTTTCTCTATTTTATGCCATGATCATCCATTTGCAACCTAAATCACAATATAAGGGCACTTTGCACATTTAGGTGTTAATTAATCATAAAAATACAAGAATTAGTGGATGTAAATCATGACATTTCATGTCTTATCAAAAAGTATTCCATGCAGAATTTATGAGCCAGGTTGTTCCAAGTAGTGATGCTTGCAACTGGAAGTGAATCTAACCATTCAACTGCCTTGTCTCATAGAGTGTATGAAAATAGTCGTAGCCGAATAGCATCATCCGAGATTCCTTGATATCTGAAGTGTTGACACATATCCAAGAATCGAGATATGTGTGTATGTGGATTTTCCTTAGCTCTACCATAGAATTGATGCCCATTTTGGAACAGTTGTATTACATTGGTCTTCAATTGAAAATTAAGCTGCCCAAACGGAGGATACACGATGCTTGACTAGCTTTGAATTACGTGAGGAGTCAAGAAGTAGCTCAAAATTTCATTTCCTTCATCCATCGCCTCTCCTTCATTGGCTGGAATAATAGGATTATTCAGTCCGTTAGCCATTTGCAAGTGTGTTTCTCTAGTCTCTCTTTGCAGTCGATGAAAATTGCACTCTATTTCAGGATCGGTCGGAATCAAACCTCCTCTAGTCGATCTTAGCATGCAAACTTGAGAGAAAGCCAAGAGTAGTATTCAGACACTCACAAGATAAATTGAATAACAAAAAAATAAAATAAAAATAAAAGAGAAAATAAAAATTAAGTTCGAATTATTGCCTAGACAAACAAAATCAAACTAAACTCAATCCCCGACAATGGTGCCAAAAACTTGTTGAACGAATTTTGTATTTTCGATTTAAATCACCGCAAGTGTATGGCTCGCAACAAGTAATAAATTGGATTTTTAGAATCTAGATATCGTCCCACGGAGATTGAGTAGTTCAATATTACCTATCTCGGTCTTAACCGAAACACAGAATTAAAATGTGTGGTGTGATTAAACTAAGAAATTTATGAACTACGATGTAGTTATGAATGCGAAAAACTAAACTAAGTCCAAAATGAGTTTAAATGCAATCTACGAGGATTTATGGAATTGACGAATTGCTAAAGCACTGGGATCACGAATTCCCAAGCAATACTCATTTCAACCTTTAATTATGTAAATTTGACACACATTCCCAAAAATGAAGAATCAATATTTCTATTTTAATTTAGCAATCTCTCTCGAGCAATGCCAAACCTATTCCAATATGCAATCCGACTATATATCTATAATGAATGTTAACATAAAAGAATGCATGTGATTTCATGAATATTTAACGGCTCACACAAGGCATAGAGGTATATTTCTATCCTCTATCCGACCCTATAATGATTTATACTACGTTGAACCTATTTTCCTTCTCTCGAATGCATAAAACAAGCCACTACATTCATATAATTACATGCACAATAATCATATGGAAATAAAAACGTATAAATCATTCAGATTTCGGAATAACGTGGTTAAATATGTCAAATCTCCAAATCAAAAATCAAAACTTGTATTGCAAGGTTTATCGATCTCCTAGTACATGAAAAATCTAACCTAACGTGCTAAAAAGAAGAAAACACAAATAGTTGAAGAAACGTCATCACCCCAATCAAATTTTCAAGAAATCTTCAATTGGCGCGATGTTTTCCGCTCATTGTCTCTTCATTTTCTTCTTCAAAATTCACTTTTCCTTGGAATATTGGGCGTCCCTCCCTTCTAGGTCGAGTTTCAGTTTATATATGGTCCAAAAATTGGGTTTCCATAAGAGTTTCAGCGGAATAAGGAAATTGCAAAATTTCGCATCGTGACATAACCATGCGACTGCATGGTTATAAAATTTGAGCTACATAATTCCCTGCATACCACGATGAAACCACATGGTGGTTTCTACCATGCGACCGCATGGTAGTGTCAAGTTCTCCATAATGTGCAATTTGGTCCCCAATCCCATTTTATTCCAATTTTTACTCATTTTCCTTATTTTCCTCCTTCCAATATCTCATTGTATCTCCAATTAGCACTTAGCTCATTAGACTTCTGGATTCACCCTTCAGGTCATCTTTTAGTTATTTGCAACTTGGTCCCTGAACTTTCATTTTCCTTCGTTTTGATCCTTTTTCGCTCATTTTCATGTGATTTCCATCATATCCATCAACATATGCCTACAAAATGAAATTACAAGGAATTAAGTCAATTTCACTCAATTCAAACCACAAATAGACATGTTTTGCGGCAGAAATAAGTGTGTAAAAACGCACTTATCAAACCCCCAAACTTAAACTATTGTTTGTCCTCAAACAGGACAGTGACTTAACTCTACACAAAACATAGCTTGACAACCTGTCATATCTCAGGATTGGAACCTAAGTGCTCAACATAAGAAACAGTTTTAATAGTGCAAGACAAAAATCAACTTTTACCTGTTATATGTAAACTCAACACGTGTTTGTGTACGAACTCATGCCAACATATCAAGCTTGTGATTGGTTCAATCCTGACCCCTAGTGGTAAAATATATCCTTTACTCGCTTGAGAGATACACCCTCCCAAACTTGTTCTTTTCACTCCATTTCCCGAGGTGTTTTCTAAAGTTAGGAAATTAAGTAACTACGGTTCTTACCCTCTCTTAGTTTGGATAAGTCTGACAATTGGAAGCTCACATGTCAACAAGTAGGAGTTCTCCTAATTTGAGTGCTTCAACCCTTAAGACTAAACTAGGCTACTTGCCTCAAATCAAAGGTATAGTGTTATCAACCAAATGTCTTAGGGCCTTCTTCAAGTTATATTATCTTTTGTTCTCCTATTTTATGGTTCCTTTTTTGTGTCATTTTCTCACTTGCTTTCTATGCAACCCTTGTAGCGAGCTTTAGACTGATGACTTCCAAACCAGTTGGCTTTAAGATACCAGGTTTTAAACCCTTACAGGCTTAATCACTTGAGTTGCAAAGGCTCGATACGATGACATTTCATTAATCCCTCCCCTTCTTACTTTCTAGATGACCCATGTAGCAAACTTTAGGCCGGTGACTCCCAAACCAGTTGGCTTTAGGGCACCAGGTTTTAAACTCTTACATGCTTAATTGCTCGAGTCATAAAGGCTTCGCGAGAGGTTTTATTTTCACATTGTCCAATTTTTTTATGCCCCTTTTGTTATTCTAGACATTCAGCTTCTAAAATCAACCCAAGAGTTGAGACTTTCACCTAATATTCATCTCACTGATCTAGACAATCTACACAATACAGATTCATGCAGGGAACCTCCACTCGTCTCAAAATAATTAATGTAAACATGAAAAAATATGAAATTTTGAACTAATGTGAAAAGAAAATTAAATCAAAAGGATACAGTGGGTTGCCTCCCACCCAGCGCTATTTTGTAGTCGATAGCTCGACTCTCCGATGTCTACTTATGGCGGTTTAAATCGAGATATTTCACCCTTGCACTTTTTTACAATTTCTAACCTTGCATCCTCTTTCAGCTCTCCAAACTATTAGTTCCCCATTCTTATCTCGGCCAACCAGTCCTCCAATTTTTGGTCTTTGCTTCTAATAGTTTTGTTGAATTTCTAGTCTATCTTCATTAGTGCACTTACACTCGTCGAGATCTAATGGTTTTGAGGCATCAAGTAACTTAAAGACCTCTTGTTCCTCATTCACTCTCAACGTTAGCTCATATTTTTCCATGTCAATCAAAGTTTGACCAGTCGCGAGGAATGATCACCCTAAGATTATCGAAATATTCTTGTCTTCCTTTCTGTCCAAAATGATGAAGTCTGCCGAAAATACCAATTTGCCACTCTTTATAAGTACATCCTCCACTTTATCCCTTGGAAACTTTATGTTTCTATCGGCCAGCTGCAATAACATCATTGTTTTCTTTGCTTCTCCTAATCCCAATTTCTTGTAAATAGATAAAGGCATTAGGTTAACACTTGCACCTGTGTCACACAAAGCATTAAAAAATCCAACTTCTCCAATTGAAATGGGTAAAGTGAAACTCCCTCGATCCTTAAGTTTTGGAGGCAGCTTTTTGAGAAGCCTTGCACTACTTTCCTCTGTTAGTGCCACCGTTTCGAATTTCGAAAGCTTTTTCTTCTTTGTTATCACGTCTTTCAAGAATTTTGCATAGTTTGGAATTTTCCTGATTGCATCTATGAGCGAGACATTAATGTGGAGTTTCTTTAGTACATCTAGAAAATTTTCAAACTCTTGATTCTACCTGTGTTTCTTCAATCTTTGTGGGAATAAGATGGATGGCTCTTATGGATTCACGTGAGTGTTTGTCTTTGCCCATGGTACATCTGGATTTTTGTTCAGCTCATCTTGTTCTACACTCACTTCTTCAGTAGGAGGTGTTGATTCTTTATCTGTACCTGGTGTATCTATATGTAATCAGGTAGTTGTAGCCCACTTTGGGTTGTAATTACCTTGGCATGCTCCCCAGTAATTTTATTCTCTAGAATGTGTATTGCCATTACTTTCTCCTCGGGATTAGTCTCCGTGTTCCTTGGTAGGTTACTTGGTGCTCTACTTGATATAACAAGTGCCATTTGTCCCATCTGAGTCTCCAAGTTCTTGATTGTAGTACTTTGGTTTTTAAGAGTGGCTTTGATCTTCTCCACGTACTGATTGGTCTTCTCTATGAATTTTCCAAGTATCTCTTCCAATTGCGAAATCTTCTCTTCTTATTGAAACTGACCCTGCGGCCTGTGTTGATCCTAGTTGCTCCAAGAGAAGTTGGGATGCTTCTTCCAACTGGGATTATATGTTTCCCCATATGGATTGTCTTGCTGATGTTGTCCCCATTGTGCAAAGTCTACCTGCTCATTTCCTTGCATTACAATTGGGCACTGTGTTATTTTATGTTCAACTCCATATTCCTCAAAACTTGGCTTCCTTGTCTGTGCTACATTTGCTGAATGTGACAACATTTCCTCCTTGTGAGACAAGGACTCAATCTTTGCGGATAGAGCTGAATATGCATCCACTTCATAAACACATGTTGGTTTCTTTTGAATCACATGCTCGGAGGACCACATAGCTTAAGTAGTTACCATCCTCTCAAATAATTCTAGTGCCCCGTCGATTGACCGTGTGGTTAGTGAGCCATTTGATGATGAGTCCACCATGCTTCTGGAGTGCGGAAGTAACCCTGTATAGAAGAATCGAATTTGGGTCCTCTTTTCACACCCATGTTGAGGGCACTTTTGGAGCATATTTTTGAATCTAATCAAGGCTTCTCTGGCAACGGTGCCAAAAACTTGTTGAACGAATTTTATATTTTCGATTTAAGTCACTGCAAGTGTACGGCTCGTAACAAGTAATAAAGTGGATTTTTAGAGTCCAAATATCGTCCCACAGAGATTGAGTAGTTCAATTTTACCTATCTTGACCTTAACCAAAACACGAAAGTAAAATGTGTGGTGTAATTAAACTAAGAAAGTTATGAACTACGATGTAGTTATGAATGCAAAAAACTAAACTAAGTCCAAAATGAGTTTAAATGCAATCTATGAGGATTTATGGAATTGACGAATTACTAACGCACTAGGATCACGAATTCTCAAGCAATACCCATTTCAACATTTAATTATGCAAATTTGACACACATTCCCAAAAAATGAAGAATCAATATTCCTATTTTAATTTAGCAATCTCTCTCAAGTAATACCAAATCTATTCCAATATGCAATCTGACTATATCTCTATGACGAATGTTAACATAAAATAATGCATGTGATTTCATGAATATTTAACGATTCACACAAGGAACAGAGGTATATTTCTATCCCCTATTGGAATCTATGATGATTTATACAATATCGAGCCTATTTTCCTTCTCTGAAATGTATAAAACAAGCCACCACATTCATATAATAACGTGTACAATAATCATATCAAAATAAAAACATATAAATCTTTCAAATTTCGGAAAAAACGTGCTTAAATATGTCAAATCTCCAAATAAAAAATTAAAACTTGTATTGCAAGGTTCATCGATCTCCTAGTACATGAAAAATCTAGTCTAACATGCTAAAAAGAAGAAAACACAAAAACAGTTGAAGAAACATCATCACCCCAATCAAATTTCCATGAAATCTTCAATTTGCATGATATTTTCCTCTCGTTATCTCTTTGTTTTCTTCTTCCAAATTCACTTTTCCTTGGTATATTGGGCGTCCCTCCCATTTTGGTCGAGTTTCGGTATATATATGGTCCAAAAATTGGGTTTCCATAAGAGTTTCGGCGGAATAAGAAAACTGCAAAATTTCGCGTCGTGACATAACCATGTGACCGCATTCCCTACATAACACCATGTGACCGCATGGTGGTTTCTACCATGCGACCTCATGGTAGTGTCAAGTTCTCCATAATGTGCAATTTGGTCCCCAATCCCTTTTTCTTCCAATTTTTACTCCTTTTCCTTACTTTCCTCCTTCGAATATCTTATTGTATCTCCAATTAGCACTTAGATCATTTAACTTCTTGATTCGCCCTTCGGGTCATCTTTTAGTTATTTGCAACTTGGTCCCTAAACTTTCATTTTCCTTCATTTTGATCCTTTTTTGCTTTAGCAACATACCAATCTAGAGATTACTACACATATCTAACATTCCTCTACCTATTTTTATCTCCGAGAAAAAAATCAGCTTACTTAGCTTCTATATAAGAATACTTACCTCAAAAATTCAGATGTGTAAATAGTTCTAGAAATCAGAAAATGGCATCGAAAGTTGTAGATATTCCACAAGCTGTAAATGAAAAAGTAAGCGATATCATCTCTTCGATCTTTGCTTCTTGATCTATAAAGTACAGATATAACTATCTTTTACATGTTGGTGATTGTTCATATTAGCTATGTACTGTGTATTGAACATGTATAAACCATGTCTTAGGCTCATGTTATGTGCAATCAAAGTTGTTAAATTGTAAAACCAGATGAGTACATAGGCATCATCATTCCATGAAGAGCAGAAACTCTTGATCAGTTTAGCTTATTTCTTGATCTTGAAACTAAGGGAGCATGTTTTCAAACTATCTGATTTTTATGATACATTAGTTTTCACTGAAATTGATGTTTTGGTTGGATATTGTGGCAATGCTAAGGGATTTAGAGTATACAATCCTCAAACTAAGAAAATCATATCCAACAGAGACATTAAAGTGGATGAAAGATTTTCATGGAATTGGGAAGCAAGTACCTTGGATAAATTTCAAACTCCAAGGCTGGTAGCTCAAGGAAATGAAGATATCATTGTAAATGAAGAAGAACCAAATGAACCAGAACCAGATGGTGACTCAGATTCAGAGAATGGAGTGCTGAGAACTAGAGCTCTTGCTGATATATTTGCTAGGTGTAATGCAGCTGTCTTGGAGCCTTCAAACTTCAATAAAGTAGTGAATTCACTAGGTTGGATGGTTGCAATGAAGGAGGAGATTAGGATGATTGAAAAGAATGAAACATGGGTGTTGGTTGATAGACCAAAAGGCAAGAATGTGATTGGAATTAAATGGGTGTATAAGACCAAACTTAACTTTGATGGTTCATTCAACAAACTCAAAGCAAGACTGGTTGTGAGGGGTTATGCTTAGCAATATGGAGTTGATTTTTCTAATACTTTTGCTCCAGTTGCAAGATATGAAACCATAAGATTGTTGTTTGCTATTGCAGCTCAAAGAGATTGGAAGATACACCAGTTGGATGTGAAGTCTAGCTTTCTAAATGGTTACTTGAATGAAGAAATTTATATCGAACAACCTGAAGGTTTCTTAGTGGTAGGGGAAGAACATAAGGTGTATTTGTTAAAAAAGGCTTTGTATGGCTTGAAGCAGGCTCCAAGGGCCTGGTATAGTAGGATTGAAGATCACTTAAGCAATCTTGGCTTTATTAAAAGAGTGAATGAACAATCACTCTACATAAAGCGCGTGGAGGAAAAAATGATCATCATATCCTTGTATGTTGATGCTTTGTTAATAACAGGTAGCAATTGTACATTGATTGAAGATGTGAAAGAAGAATTGAAGAGTGCATTTAACATGATAGATCTAGGAATGATGAAATATTTTCTTGGAATGAGATAGATCATACACTAGAAAGGATTTTTATTTGTCAAAGAAGGTATGCAAAGGAAATGTTGAAGAAATTTAATATGGAAAATTGTAAATCTGTTAGCACTCCTTTGGTACAAAATCCCAAAACTAATGAGGAAAGATGGAGCCTAGAAAACTAATGAAAAAGTTTATAGGAATATGGTTGGATGTTTGTCGTATCTAACCATCACAAGGCCTGATGTTGCATATGCTACAAATATATTCTCTAGATTTAGATAAGAACGAAGTGAAATACATTTCCAGGAAGCAAAAAGAGTTCTAAGGTACATAAAAGGAAGTGAAGAGCTGGGAATCTGGTTTAGGAAATCTGAAAATCTGATTTTAACTGGCTTCACTGATAGTGACTGGGCTGGTTCAGCTGGTGACATGGAAAGTACTTCTGGCTATGTGTTTTATATTAGTTCAAGTGTTGTTTGCTAGAATTGAATGAAGCAAAAAATAGTAGCATAATCAACTGCTGAAGCAGAGTGCATAGCTGCATCTGAGGCCATCAATCAAGCTGTTTGGTTGAGGAAAATGCTAGAAGATCTTGAGCACAAACAAGCTGATGCAACATTTATCTATTGTGATAAACAATTAGCTGTTGCAATGGTGAAGAACCCTGTGTTTCATGGAAGAACAAAGCACATAAAGATAAAATACCACTCCATCAGGGAAGCTCAGGAAAGTCAAGGATGTGAAGCTGGTGCATTGCAATTCAGAGGACCAATATGCTGATATCTTAACAAAGTCCTTGTCTAAAAGAAAGTTTGAAACATTGAGGATATGCCTTGATGTTTCCAGCAAAAGTGTCAAGGAGGAATATTGACATTTGTTTGACACTTCTGCTGTCAAATGTCTTGTATTTTGTAGTACTTATTTCTAGTTTATATTATAGCCTGTATGTAATGAAGTCTGTCAAAGTATGGTTTAATATAAGGTCATGTATTCTGTCCAAAAGTAAGGCTGTAGTAGGTAGATAGTGGTTGACAAAAATGTGCTAGAATCCTTTTGATATATAGCTCTAGTTTCCTGCTATGCTGTGTATGTATGTTGAGTTTTTTATCAGAAAGAATTGAACTTTCTTCTTCTTTGTTTTAAATATTTTTTCTATCACAATCCAAGTGTATAACTATCTCATGACCTATAATGACATATTCAAACTGAATCTCTATAAATATTTGAATTGAATCTATTGAAGTAAGAAGAAGCATTATATGATATAAAAGTGCAACTGGTGGCTATGAAAAAAGTAAAAGTTTAGGGTGCATTCGCAAGTGTTACTACATTGATAAAGATATTTACCACAGTATTTTAAGCAACAGAAAACTAATGGCAACCAAAATTGTAGTATCCATATACAAGTGTCAAAATGCCAAGGTTGACTGGACTCCACAATTTGAGAGATATAGCAGAAAAATGGTAAAATGCAGCAAGTTAATAACTGTTAGTATGGTTTTTCGTATTA